TTTGTATGGCCTACAAATAATTGTTCCGGGTCTGGATGTTTGTCCTTGGGCAATGTGTGTTTGTAAACTGCCTCCACGATACAGGAGAAAATCCTAGTGTGGGGGTAACGTTTTTAAAAAAAATGTATGGTAAATGTGTATGTGAGTATATAAGTCTATGTCAGTGTATGTATTAATATGCCAAAAATATGAATGTATGTTTTCGCCAGCCCTAGACAGCATGAAAAGTGTTTGGTACGACCGCCATCATATACGACCTCCCCATTGTTCAAAAACTTTATGAACTGATTTTTTAAAGTCCTGCTGGGTTTCTTGCTAGTTCTTCCCAAGACAGAAGTTTTTTTCCGAACCAGTGGTAAATTAAGCAAAAGAGTGGCTTTTAGTAAGTATTATTTTTAATCTATATTATATTATTTATAATCTATATTTTTAATATATATATATATATAGTTTCTGTTTCAGATGCGTGCTAAAGTACCGTCCGATAGCACAGGCTGCTTCAAGTGCATGTTAATATAATTGAAAAGAGACACTAGAAAAACATTTAGCATCTTATTATTTTTTTCTTCTTTTAGTAAAAATGTTATCCATTTTCTCCTTTGTTGTGGAGGCAGTTTACAAACATAGATTGCACGAGGACAAACATCCAGACCCGGAACAATTATTTGTAGGCCATACAAATACTTGCTCCGTGCAAGATTCGAACCCGCGGCCCCCAGCGCAACAACTCATTGCTAACCCACTGCGCCACGGAGCGCATTATTATTTACTAGTAGACATGCGTCATTCCGTGATTCGTCATGCGTTATTCCGATATCCCGGACGTCAGTCTGAGTGAGATTAGAATGGCTCGCCAGCACCTTAAAAACGGCAAGGCCCCAGGCGAGGATGGATATATAGGCGAGCTTCTAAAAGCGGGTGGAAAACTGATACTTGAAGTCCTTCAGAAGCTCTTTAATTCCGTCCTCCATGGTGGCATTACACCGGAGGCGTGGAGCAGAAGTGCGGTGGCCTTGTTCTTCAAGAAAGGTGACAACGCTCTCTTGAAGAACTACAGACCGATTTCCCTTCTGAGCCGCGTCTATGTGCTTTTTTCGAGAGTCATTACGAATCGTCTCGCGCGCAGACTAGACGACTTCCAGCCTCTCGAACAAGCCGGTTTCCGAAAGGGCTTTAGCACCATAGACCACATACATACCCTTCGACAAATTGTACAGAAGTCCGAGGAGTACAATTTGCCACTATATCTGGCGTATGTGGACTATGAGAAAGCCTTTGATTCCGTCGAAATTTGGGCGGTGCTGCAGTCCCTTCAGCGGTGCCAAGTTGACTGTCGGTATATCGAAGTGTTGAAATGCTTGTACAGTAGGGCTACGATGGCTATCCGAGTACAGAACCAGAGTACGAAACCTATCCAATTGCAGAGAGGTGTAAGACAGGGTGACGTTATATCCCCGAAACTCTTTACCGCTGCATTGGAAGACGTTTTCAAGCTTCTGGACTGGAAAGGATACGGTATTAACATCAATGACGAGTACATCACTCACCTCCGATTTGCCGACGATATAGTCCTTATGGCAGAATCGCTGGAGGACCTAAGCACCATGCTCAATGACCTCAATAGTGTCTCCCAACGAATAGGTCTCAGGATGAACATGGACAAAACAAAGATCATGTTTAATGTCCATGTCACCCCTATGCCGGTAGTTGTTGGGAGCACTAAATTCGAAGTTGTTGACGAGTATGTTTACCTGGGACAAATAGTCCGACTAGGTAAGTCCAACTTCGACCGAGAGGTCAATCGACGGAATCAACTCGGATGGGCAGCGTTCGGGAAACTACGACACATCTTCTCGTCAGACATACCTCAAAACCTTAAAACGAAATTGTACAACCAGTGCGTGTTGCCAGTGATGACTTACGGATCTGAGACGTGGTACCTCACTGCTGGCCGTATGAGGAAGCTCAAGGTCGCTCAGCGAGCTATGGAGAGGGCTATGCTCGGAGTTTCTCTGCGTGATAAACTTAGAAATGAGGATATCCGCAGTAGAACCAGAGTAACCGACATAGCCCAACGGATTAGTAAGCTGAAGTGGCAGTGGGCCGGCCATATAACTCGAAGAACCGCCAACCGATGGGAAAAAAAGGTTCTTGAGTGGCAGCCTCGTACCGGTAGGTGAAGTGTAGGGCGACCCCCCACGAGATGGAGTGACGACCTGGTAAGACATGCAGGAAGGCGATGGATGCAGGTGGCTCAGGACCGTGCTTTGTGGCATTCCTTGGGGGAGGCCTATGCTCAGCAGTGGACTTATGAAAGGTTGTAATGATGATGATGATGCGTCATTCATTTATTTCTAGTGACCGAATCATTCAAGTACTTATTCGTCACACATACCGGCTCATTGGTTCGATTATTCAAATGGATCATTTCGGGCTTCAGTACATGTTCTCCTCTCTGGTTCTGTATTTGTTCTAAATTCTAATAATTCTAATTCTAATAATAGCAAAGTAGTCCATATCATAGAATGTATAGGAATACAATTAATATAAATAAATATATTAACGTTAGACACTCAATATATTTACGAGAAGTTATTGTATGTACACAAAAACAAATATAGTTTTATCAAAAATAGTGATGTACATTCAGTAAATACTAGGAACAAGCATAAGTTAGTTATACCAGTTACTCGACTCCAAAGAGTCAGTAATTCCTTCATGGAGCAATTATACGCTTTTACAACAAAGTCCCAGAAAATATGCTGACCTTTCCTATCAAAAGGTTTAAATTATTTATTAAGCAAAATTTGTCTAGTAAGGGTTATTATACTACTAAAAAGTACATGACTGATAACAACCCCTGGGAATGAAGTGATCACTACCATGCTGTTTCTAAATGTTTTCATAATAATTGTATAAAATATACATACATACATATAATCACGCCTCTTTCCCTTAGGGGTAGGCAGATACCACTTCTTTCCCCTTGCTACGATTCTTACATACTTGTTTTGCTTCGTCCACTTTCATTATTCCCTTCATACATGCTCTACGGTTTAGGGTACACTTGACCCGGCCTTTTTTCAAGACGTCCCTGATTTGGTCTAGAAATGTCCGCCTAGGTCTACCTCTTCCAACACTTTCATTCACACTCGCCTTATACACTTTTTTCGTCAATCGTTCTTCATTCATTATCTCGACATGGCCAAACCATCTCAGCATACCTTTCTCAATTTTTGTCACTACATCTTATTTCAGACCACAACGTTTCCTTATCTCATTATTTCTTATCCTGTCACTCAGTTTAACTCCATACTTCTTAATACTCTCATCTCAACTGCATTTATTCTGGTTTCATGTTTCTTCTGCCATACTCAACTTTCACTTCCGTACATGAGTGTCGGAACCAACATCCCCTCATGCACAGCAAAACGAGCCTTGTTAGACACCTTCCGGCTGCTCATAAAGGAGTGCAAAGCTCCATTCACCATGTCTCCTGCATTAACTCTTCTTTCGGTATCACTCTCACACTTTCCATCTCTTGTAAACTTTGAACCCAGATACACAAAATTTCACCTGTTCTATTTGTTCATCTTCAATCACAATACACATTGTAAATTGTGCTTTTTAAGAAAAAAGGTCCCGCTGGGTTTCTTGCTGGTTCTTCCCAGGACAGAGGTTTTTTTGCGAACCAGTGGTAAAAGTAAAAAATGATTTTCTATAAGTATTATGTATACAATAAGTATACTATAATCTGTATTGAATAAAAATGATTCTATTATTTCTAATTACAACGGTCTAGCGTTCAAACACAAACAAATACCCATTATTAATTATTTTCTAATAAAAGATTAATACCCTTTACAATTGCCTTCTTTCCGAGATAGCCTATTTTTGTTTATAGTATGAGGGTGACAAGCGAGCACACATTCCACCTGATGGTAAGTGGTTGATGTGGCCCATATACATCTACACCTATCCTCGTTTGCGAATCAAAATGCAGATGCATTTTCGTGCCGTGAGGACTAAGGTGGATTTATTTTCCAGTAAAAAAGATCTCCGGTTCTCTACACTCACCGTACGAAACACAGCAGCATTAAGCTGCTATTTTACGCCGGTATTTTGTGAGAGCGTGGTCCTTCCCCGGTCGAGTCGACCCATTCGTGCTGCAACCATACAATGATTGTAGCTGCAACATGGCTCTATTACGTTTAAAATTATTGAAATTATTAATGTAAATATTAAGACGACAAAAACTAAAAGCCAACTTTAAATAACTAGTAATAATAAAATATTTCCCACATAACAGCCTCTGAAGTTGGTGTTAAGACAGCGTATAGAAGAATTAATTCTCAGACTTCGGAAGCTGTTATGTGGATATTATTCAATTATTTTTAGCTCTCTGAAGTAGACTTGTCATTTTTATTAAAAGACCAGCGACCCACCCCGGCTTCGCCTGGATGCTTAGATTTACGACCATTGATTTTGTCAATGTTTCGTTTTAATTTTAGACGTTTTTTATATAAAATGTAGCCTAGATCCATTCTAACATTGCTCTCGTATCTGTTTATGAAGTTAAATAAAGTCGGTTCAGCCATTCCGAAGCTTAGCCCGTACATATAGACAGACGGACACAATTTAGAAAAAAATGTTCATTTTATATATTTAATAATTGCACGCAAATAAACTCTGAGCCTAATATTCGTAGAAGCCAATTATTTGATGTTACAGACAGATATTTAAACTTTAATTTTATTTGTATATAGATATATTTTAATTTTTTTGACACTTCTTAAATATTATTATTATCATAAACCTAGAATAACATATCATTAATTTTTTTGTAGACTAAGTTCTTATAGTAATTTTTTTATAGAATAATATTAAATTAGGTAAATAAATAAGAAATGTGAATAATAATTTTTATGAATATTAAAAATATCAATAGTCAATATTAATGTAATTTTTATATACATTGTGGAAGAAAATAAATAACTTACTTATTTGCCTTGTGAGCGCTGGTTCCCTCTTCAAAGCTTTTTTGCTGATGAACCGGTTATAGTCCTGCTCGGTTAACGCCGGATACTTATCCCCCAGATCCCATGGGGTGTCGCTGTAGAACTTTAGTACTTCAGGGGTATCGTCCGAGTAACTTAATTTAGAAGAGTACCTTAAGTTGTACACGGCACGCGAGTCGGTTAATTTTTTCAACAGTTTGCTTGGTTGAAATTTTAACGGTGAGAACATGTTGCCTATTTTTGGTTAAATTACAATTTTCTTTTAAATCCGTTTTTATATCACTTAGGCAAAAGTAACTTCAAGGATATGTCTTTTTGCACTATATAAATTATGGTTTTTTTTTTATTTTATTCACATCCGCCTATTCAAAATGTTAAATTTTTTCGCAATAAACTTTTTTTTGGCTAACTTGTGCGAACGACGCGAATTGAGTTTGAACACGTCAGAGGTTCGCGGTGTAATGTGCGAATTTCAATTTGGGCGCTGCTGGTGAGTACGTCAGTATCAAGTCGAGATATATAATTAATGGCTATATTTTATGGTCATATTTTATAGAGTACTAGTGAACCCGGCGGACGTTGTCCTGCCAGTTAATATCATAGGTTACGTTCAGCAACGTTTTTTATTTTAGCGTTTATTAATTGTTGCGCTTAGTTGAAAAATCAAATATTTTTTTTTTAAAATTTGTTTGTTGTTTCTAAATTTTATTTTATTTTTTTAGTTTATAAATATAAACCTTCTCCACTGAAAAATGCATGTACCAATTTTCATGGTGATCGATCAAATAGATTTTGAGTTAAACGATTTTATAAATACAAACATCCTCTTTTATATTATAAATACAACTGCTTAGTGGTTGCAGTACATGGTTATAAACTGTGGGTTGAGAGTTTAAATACAGCTATATGCGCAATCCTCAATTTTTTATTGCGATGTTTATTGTGTGATCGAATAGTTTCATGATATTTATATTTTTCTTATATTTTATTATGTTATGTAAAACCAACAGCTTATATTTCTTAAGTAAATAATATGTATAATTACAAGAAGCCAATAATAGGATCTCACTAACAGGTATACATTAACATAATCTTTCGTCGATTAAAGGACAACAAAAGCGAGTCGATTTAAAATATACAACATTTAATAAATGAATCACACAATAATAGTCCAAAAGAAAAGAAAAGCGGGACTATACGCTATATTTTTTTCTTTATTAGACTGACAGCTGAGATACTCACTTGGCGCACAGTACCGCAGAATCTATTTCTCCTGATGATGCCTTATTTAAAGGTGAAACACGTATCTATTTCTCACCGGTGGTGTGTCTTTCCTAATGTATTGGTGTTGGGAATAGTGGTGACGGAGACAGTGCAAGCAAATGAGGTAGGGCAGGAGGGAATTCAAACTAGGTAAGGCGGTGACGTGGAGTAAGTGCAAACTAGGTAAGACACATCATTTTTATTTTTACGCGGGTTAACTTTAATATAAGGGATTTCCGTAAAGTAACGCCCGATTCTATTAATTAAATTGGTTCTCACTAGAATTTTTTTCCATCGCGTATTACGACACTTACGGGATGATATGGGTATTCTACGTGGTAGAACCATGCTGCAGCTATATTTCTGGTATAGTTGTAACACGAGTGGGTCGGCTCGACCGGGGACGGACCACGCTCTCGCAGAATACCAGCGTAAAAAAGCGGCTTGATGCTGCTGTGTTTCGTATGGTGAGTGTAGAGAACCGGAGACCCTTTTTATTGGAAACGAGGCATTCCATCTTAGTCCTTACGGATAACAACGCATCTGCATTTTGATTCGTAATCGAGGATAAATGTAGGTGTCTATGGGCCACAGCAACCACTTACCATCAGGTGGACTGTGTGCTCGGTTGTCACACTTATCCTATAAAAAAATGGATCCATTATAAGAAGAAATCCCGTTTAAGTGCACCTGAATGTCTTGCGTCTGAAGTTGGATATTAAAACTTGATCTCACACGATCTTCATGTTAATTACAGCGAAATTACTAACTTTTAAGTTGTAAAACATTAACAGGTTATGGCGGTATAAGGAAAGCCACTACTCAACATCGTAGGTGTTGTAAAGACATACATGCATACATACATATAATCACGCCTCTTTCCCGTAGCAATAGGCAGAGACCAGTTCTTTCCACTTGCTACGATCCTTACATACTTGTTTAGCTTCGTCCACTTTCATTATTCCCTTCATACATGCTCTACGGTTTAGGGTACTCTTGACCTGGCCTTTTTTCAAGACGTCCCTGATTTGGTCTAGAAATGTCCGCCTAGGTCTACCCCTTCCAACACTTTCATTCACACTCCCCTTATACACTTTTTGTAAAGACGTCAGAGAGAAATAAAGCAGGAGATAGGCAGAAGCATTTTCAAAATTACAAATAAAAGATAAAAAATAAAAGAACTGCGGCTTCCTATCCGCCAACCAAGCGTTGCAACTATGGCAAATATCCCCCCCATGATAGAGACGTATTTGTTCAGCAGTGAACTTTTTATTAGTAAGTTTATGACATACGAATATTAACACATTACGTAGATCCGAGTGTGCGATAAGTATGCTTACATAGAGTTAATTGAAAATTGCAACAAATGTTTATTAATTTTTAAATCACTTACAACACATGACCAATTTTGAACCTTATCACAATAAACAATGATGTTTTTAAAAACAGTTACCTGTAATTTATATGAGCTCTTGATAATTTGGTACTCAATAGTTATACAACTTAATTTTTTTAATCATTTTATATTTTTCCTTGCAGTGGCAGATAACGGAATCTACTACCACAGATATCCTGTGGGCGCGTAAATAGCGACAGAGGGTAATTAAAACAGAAGATGGGCAGCAGCACGTGAAAGGAATGGTATTTAATACGAGATTGTCGGGATTACACTAGAGTTTACGTGCATTATATATATGGTTTAAATTGTTGTGCATTTTAAATCATCGACTTTTATACGTGGTAGAGCCATGCTGCAGTTATTAGTAGTATAGCTGTAGCACGAATGGGTCGGCTCGACCGGGGAAGGACCACGCTCTCACAGAATATCAGCGTAAAATAGCAGCTTAATGCTGCTGTGTTTCGTATGGTGAGTGTAGAGAACCGGAGACCCTTTTCATTGGAAATGAGGCATTCCATCTTAGTCCTCACGGGTGACAACGCATTTGCATTTTGATTCATAATTGAAGATAGATATAGATGTCTATGGACCGCAGCACTTACCATCAGGTGGGCTGTGTGCTCGTTTGTCACCCACATGCTATAAAAAAAGAAAATAACTTACTTGTAAGATTAAGAGTTTTAGGTATAAAGGCAGGTCATTAATCTGTCTGTTTACTACAGCTTCAAATTCTACTGCTGAACATAGACCTACCCCATAGATTTCCTCATGACAGGTTGGTAACCGCAGTTCTTTTTTATTTATTTGTTATTAGGAAGACGCTGCTGCCCATCTCCTGTTTTAGTTTCCATCTGTCGCCTGTTACGACACCCACGGGAGGATATTGGGTAGTGGATATTTTTACATCGCCACTACACTGTTAAGGTAGTTAATATACATTTTAAACAGAAGTAGGCCCAGAAGACATCCCTGTTGTACTCCAGATGTAATTTTTCGCGAACTTGACTTAAAGCCACCATATAAAAATTACGGTCGGTTAAATAAGACCAAATCAATTTCATTAAACATTTACAGATTCCGTAAGCGGATAGATTTTTAAGAAGCACACTATGTGAAATGCGATCAAAAGCCTTATGAAAATATGACCCCGTATATATGATTTTAACAACGATCGCAGAGTTCCGAACAACTTCTTTTTTTATAGGATCGGGTGACAAACGAGCACACAGTCCACCTGATGGTAAATGGTTACTGTGACCCATAGACATCTACATCTATCCTCAATAAAGACTCAAGATGCAGATGCGTTGTCACCAGTGAGGACTAAGATGGAATGCCTCTTTGCCAGTAAAAAGGGTCTCCGGTTCTGTAGGCTCACCATACGAAACACAGCAGCGTTAAGCTGCTATTTTACGCTGGTTTTCTGTGAGAGCGTGGTACTTCCCCGTTCGAGCCGACCCATTCGTGCTACAACCATAATATAGCTGCAGCATGGCTCTACCACGTAGAAAAACTACCGGCAGAGATGTGACATAGTAGATTTCTTTTAGTTTTTCAATATGGAACTATAAATAAATTTGATGACTTACCATCTCACAACTTGGTAGATCTCGAGCGGCTCGGCGTCGAGCTACGGCTGCTAGTGGGAGTGCCGGAAATACTCGGAGGTGGGAGCAATCTGCCACAGATAAGTAATTATCTTTAATATGAACCGGGTTGAAATTATTCCTTCTATCGGTAGCCATGAGATTTTTTTTTCATTATTCATTTCATTGATTATAGCCCTTCACAAGAACACTACTGAACACTACAGCCTTCTCCATGGAATGTCTCAAAGCAAAATTCTGAGCCACTTGCTTTTTTTTAGAATAAGGGTGACAAACGAGCACACAGTCCACCTGATGGTAAGTGGTTGCTGTGGCCCATAGACATCTACATCTATCCTCGTTTGCGAATCATGATGCAGATGCGTTGTCAACCGTGAGGACTAAGATGGAATGCTTCTTTTCCAGCAAAAAGCTTATGGTCCCACCTCATAGGACTAACCTCGGTCTTAATTCAGCATTATGCAGAATGTTTAGACTGTATAATGATATATCTAGGCCTTCTGATTTAGGTATTTTCAATGACAATTTAAATATTTTCAGAAGAAAAATGTTACTTTATTTAGAATCTTAATGATGAATGTAAACCCTTTTTAATTTATCATAAATACGCAATTTTGCTACTGTAATATTAAATTTTATGATAATTAACTTTTCGCAACATTACTCTGTGTAAGCTGTGGTTGCCTATAACTGGGTGAGCACATTTCATGTTTCTCTCAATGCTTGGATCTTGTTTTTAGTATCTGTATATCATCTGTCGGTGACACTTATAAATAAATAAATAAATAAATAAATAAAAAGGGTCTCCGGTTCTCTACACTCACCACACGAAACACAGCAGTGTTAAGCTGCTATTTTACGCTGGTATTCTGTGAAAATAGAATAGAATAGAATAATTTTTTATTCAATATTGATTATTACATAATACTTATTAAAAGTCATTTTTTATTTACCACTGAT